ATTTTGTACTGGGAAGCAATTTGCAAATACATTTAGATAGCTCCAACTGTTATCTGTTGGTACTTCGTAAGTCGATGCTGATATAGAAACAGGATTATAGCCCTTTTGAATGCAAACTATGAAAAATTTCATGATGCAAAATATGAAAGTCTCATGATGCAAAATTCAGTATTCCTTGAGAGAGAATTAAATTTTCCACGAGAAGTAGGATCTTCCTATATTTCATCAATATCCATATAGATATGAATCCTCCTATACTTTATCACACACAGACATACGCAGGCTACAATGGGCTTATCATATGAGATATGTTATTTCAAAACCTGCTATTGTTTGTTTTAACATAGTTTAAAGTGCTCTTTTTTTTAACGCATCCTCCCAACTTCTTCCTCCCCAGTAGTGACTGTACCTACACCTTTTTACATTCTTTCTTTTGGTATTTTCCTCCATACCTCTAAACAAATAATTGTATTGCTACCTGTAAATTATTCAATTTTAGGCATTTCCTTTTACTTTGCACTATCAAAGCTTTTACTACCCTCACACCTGCTAATACACAAATTTCTGTCCCCCATCCTGTGTATATAGGAGTTAAAATGTTGTTTGTTTCCTCTGTTCCCACCACAAATTCATTTCTGAGCTCTCAGTTGGAATGTAAAATACCCCACTTATTCTATTAATTTCAACTTGTTGAACATCCTTCTCTCAGAGTGTTTTGATATGCCTTCAGTCATGCCTGGCTGTTCCTTAGGTTCACTGCAGAGTTCTTACCTTTTATCCACCGTTACCACTATCTTGAGAGTACACTTCCCTTTTCTCTTGGGTTGGATCTCCCATTAGCAGGAATTCATTTCTTCTGTTTTCTTGTTTACACCTTCATTAGGGTGGAGCATCTCCTCCAATAACTTTCTGAGAAAAGTGCATGAGAGAGAAATTTTTGAGACCTTGAAAATCTTAACATGCTTTTTTCCTACTCTCATATTTCGTTTATAGTTTGCCCAGGTATTGATTTCTAAATTTGAAATACTTTTCCATCAGAATTTTGAAGACATCACTCTATTTTATTCTACTTTCCAGTTTTGCTGTAGAAGTTCAGTACCATACTTATTTTTAATCTCCTTTATCTTTATAGATATGTGTGTGTGTATATATATGTATACATATATATACACACACACACACACATACACATACACAAATAAATTTAGGATCTCCCTTTGTCTCCAGTGTTATAAAATTTTACAACATACTTTGGTGTGGGTCTGTTTGTATATTCTCTGAGTCCTTTCAAACTAGAAAATTATGATTTTCCGTTATGGGAATCTCACAGGATTTATTTATTTGGTAATTCTGTGCTCTCTCTTTTCTCAAGTCTCTCTTTCTAGAGATGCTATTATTCAGATGTTGAATTTCCTGGATTGATGCTCTGATTTGCCTAACTTTTCTATCTCTAGGTTTTGCCCTACATTATGGGAGCTTTTCTAATTTTTGTCTCAACTCACCTACTGAGATTTTTATTTATGTGATCATATTTTTAGAGTTCATTATTTGTTTATCCCTTTTTGTAGCAACATGTTCTTGTTTCATTGATAAAATGTATTTTTTATGATACTGACAGTATTAGTAATAGTTTTGTAGTCTTTAATTCCTTCTCTGTTATATTTTCCCCAAGTGGCTGTTCTCTGTGTATTTGTCTTGTTTGTGGTCTTTCTTCATGCATCCAGTGCCCTTTGTGTAAGAGAATGGAGACTATAAAAGCTGATGGAAGCTCTGTACATGTGGGCAGCTCTTGTTGCTAGTGGGCTTCACTGAAGGATGATATTGCAGGGCTGTTTCACTGAGAAATTTCCAATATCCCTATCTTTAGGTATTTTGTTTGTTCTTGACCTGGTCAGATTCCTGAGTCAGGAAGGCATAAGCTCGGCTACACTGAGTTCTGGAAGCCATGTAGGAGAAGAGGACTGGGACGTCAGCATCCAGGGTAAATGTTCCCTGAAGGTTTGCAGTAGGTGGTACCCCTGCCCTCCTTTGTGCTTGCTTTCCGACAGTCCTTCACCTTGACAGTAAAAAAGGAAAATAAGGAAGGCATCTGAGTGACGTGTGTCTTAGATGTACCCTTCCTGGCTCCTGCGGGGGTTGGGAAGAAATGTTACTAGCCTGTAGGGAAAGGCATAGGGCAGCAGAAGCTCTGACTACTTCTACAGTGGGTTTTAGGCCTCCTTCTGTTTTCAATACTCCCTTCACTGTCACTTCTTAAGCGTGACTTGTGGTACTGCTCTGGAGCCTTTTTGGGGGTCAGCTGGTGAAGTTGTCTTGCGTCTCGGCTTCACCGCTTTGGCTGAGGAACCTTTGTTCAATCAGTTACGCTTGTCCTTCTGCTTACCAGGTTTTCATCACTAGTTTCACCTCTGGATTTCTTTTATATTGTAGGTTCATTCTTTTAAGCCCCTTTTCCTGTTATTGTAGTGCAATTTCATAATTAAAATACCCTGTAATCTACCCTTTTCAACAAAAATTAGATTTTAACATTCTTTCTTGTCAGTAAATATACTTCCACATCAGCATTTTAATAGCTGCATAGGAATCTCTTTTTAGAGATCTAACTTATCCCCTATTATGATAAACATGGGTTGTTGTAAGCAATATTGAAAAGAACCTCCTTCTAACTAAATTTTACATCATCCTTTAATTTAAATAAACTTAAAATGTGCGAAAATCATGAATCCTTTCTTAAAATGTTTGTTACAAAATGACATCTTATCTCCAAGAGCATGAGGATGATTCCTTTTCTAATGTAGACCGTTTGGTGTAAACATTCCATTTAACAACATTTCCCACCAGGTAGTAAGTTCCTGTATGTTAATTCATCCTAATTACCCAGGCTGTGCTTGGAACAGGGTAGGCACCCAATACCTATTTGCTAAGTCGACATATACATAATAAATGAATTTTTGTTATTTTGTTTTAAGACTTCAAAGAGAAAGAGGTCTGGCATGGAAGGAAGCATGATGTAATAAGTTTTAAAAATCTTATTTTCATCACTGAGTTACTTTGAGGTAACTTAGGTCATAAAGTTAGTAAGATTGAGATGTAAAAGGAAGGAAGCCAGCACGGCAGGGTGCTGTATAGACATCCCTGCACCCATGCACTGGATACAAGCTGGACCTCCGTGATCCTGCAGGCAGACGTGACAAATGGCTTAAATACAAGATGCTAACATGGACTGTGTTTCACTCTACTTTATTTTGGAATTTAACTTAAGGATGAACATTCTGTTCTCTAGAGACAATATACACCTATTGGGATTAATTATGTGGTTGGATTAAATAAATACTATTTGCTTAATCTAGTCCCAGGTTTCTCAGTGTGGAGTCTGCACATCATCAGTCTTGGAATCGCATGGTGTCTTGTTGAATTTACCCTTCCCTTGGCTCCCCTGAGACCTCTGGGATCAGAATCCCTGTGGGTGGCCTGGGATTCCTTCCTCATATGCACGTGACAATCAACATGTCTTCTCTAGACCAAATACACAGAACTGTTTCAGAAAGTTAGGTGCACATCTTATATAAATTTGAAAACTCTGATGAAATATTAGAATTAACAATTAGGGAGAATTCTGATAAACTGATTTAACATATTTTGTTGCTTTTTCCTTCAATTATTACTCTCTAAGAAGTCAACTAATTAGCTTAACATATAGAAACTCAGGAAAAATCATCACAGATGTTTCTTTTCTGAATTTCTCATTCTGTGATGTAACCAATGACTAGACACATTAATTTGTGGTTTAAAATAAATGCACACTGTACATCTATTATGTATATTGCACTTCTGATCTAGAATTTCAATTTTTTAACCCAACATCTTGTAGATAATATTTTGGTTGAAATTTGATTTAATTATAGGCAAGCTTGATGTCTTGTGAGAGAGATTTTAAATCAAGTATTGCTCAGAGTGACAGTTTATGCAGTGACATAGCATGTGTGTGAGAGTTCTTACCCCGTGCCCGACATGTAATAGGTATCAGTTAGTGCATGCCCCCTGCTCAGGCATCATTAACTCCCAGAAGTGGTGGTAAAGAAGGAAAATAGGAAAACTATCTCAGTGATATGTCACCTTGTGTTAATGAAACATTGTCTTAATATTTAAAAGGTAAAAAATTTGATTCTCCACTAATATTAGCTAACATTTATCAAGTGTTACTATGTAACATACACACTCTAAGCTCTTGACATGAGGTAGGTGCTTATGATTATTTCCATTTTAATAAGAGAATGAGGCACAATGACATTAGTTACAAAGTTATTCAAGGTCAACTAATGGGTAAATAGGAAAGCCTAATTTTGAACCCAGAAAATCTGTCTCTAGAGATCACAGCTACTATCATGTCTTCCTAACTACAATAGGTAGGCACTGTTGCGCATAAAAGCTGATGAGGAGGATGTATCTTTTGAAAGGTATTTTAATGATAACCAAATTTTTATCTTCCTACCCAATTTTGCAGATTAAATATTTCTAATAATTTCTTTTAAAAATACATGCTATACCTAAAGTAAAGAGAGCCCTAAGGTAAAGAGACTGGTAGAAAGACAATTTTAGGGCCCAAACAATCGGAGTTTAAATACTGGCTTCGTGATTTATTAGCTGTGTACAAATCACTTAAACTTCGAGTCTTAATTTTCTCATCTGAAAATGGGAATGATAATATTCACCCATAGTGTTACCATACAGAGTAAAGATAATCTCTATAATAGTGTCTCATTGAGCTCCTTGCATTCAACCAAATAAAGCTATTATAATTTAATTGTATAAATGATTTCTATGTTCTATATGAGAGATATAGAAAGTATAATTTTTAGTATCAAAATATCTGATTTCTGTTTAAATCTTTAAGAATCATGAATACCTAATATTTTATTTAATCTCCTTATTCTTTGGACAGAAGACTTTGGCTGGGCTGTCCCGCAGATATTTAAACTCTCGCTTTTTCTTCTTTTCAGCAAACTTCCTTGATAACATGCTTTTGCGAAGTTCAGGAAAATTAAATGTGGGCACCAAGAAAGAGGATGGTGAGAGTGCATCCCCCACCCCTCGTCCAAAGATCTTGCGTTGTAAATGCCACCACCATTGTCCAGAAGACTCGGTCAACAATATTTGCAGGTTGGTCATATAAATTGTTTAAATCTAGTTTTAACAGAAAGTCATACTTTTTCAACTGTAGAATTGTAGGCTGGTGTTTCCAAGAACATGTTTTGGGGAATAGTGCCTGATCCCGTTAACTCTCAGAGCTGTGCTGTGTTTAGAGAAATACTGAATTGCATTTTGCCCTGAAATGGTGTTCTGAGATTCTTCTGCCTTCCTCCAAACATCACACATGCACATAACCTTACAGCACCGTCCCAAGCTCCTTGTCAAGGAGCAAAACCCAGTTATTTTCTTTCAAAACACCTCTTCCCCAAAATAAATTCAACAGCAGAGGGTGTCGCATGTGTGTGGGGTTTTGTTTGTTAGAACTGTTCATCATGCTGATGGTGTTAGTGTTTTGGAAAGAACACCTAAGCTATTCGGAATATTTATAAACTGACTCTGGGAAGCGATATCATGGTACAGCTTATGTGAGTCCACCAGACTTTAGGAAAGACATTTGCAAAATATTAGAGAATAAACTCCTTCGTAGATAAGCTTGTTTGTATAAATACTTTCTAATATTTGAAACTGGACTATTTGCCTCTTTCTTCCTTACACGTCTTTTTTCAGCCACATCCATTTTGCTGGTCACTATAGTTATGTTTACTCCCCAGGATGAGGACTACAGTGGGTAAAGAGGCATAGTCTAATGAGGCCAGAGTGTGCCCAGGGAGAAGTGGCTGAGTTAACCAGACAGGTGTGGATCTCAGCAGTTAAAAATGTCAGAGAAGCAAAGTCTCCCTCAAGAAGGGTAATGGACCCACAGAGGAAGTTGGGCTGCTAGGTTTGAAGTCCGGGCAAGACATCTGGGCAACCATTCAGGGCCTCATTATCCAGGAAGGAACATGAAGCTGAGTTGAATGCTTTTTTCTTCCTGAGACCTTTTTTCCCCAAGGTTTCTATGAAGTGGGATCTAATATAAGCTTGCCAGTGTATCCTGAAATATATAGTTCAAGGAATGTATATTAACTGAATGACACAGAGAGGAAAGTTGGATGTATTCGTAAGTATATATCTCATTTAATCAGCAAAACAACTCAGCATGGTAGGGAATGCTTATTTCTTACCATTACACATAAGGAATTCAGGACCCAGAGAGGTCCAGTAACTTGGCTCTTGTGCGATAGAAGAAAGTTGGGATCACTGAGTCTTGTGCCAAAGTAAATTATTCTAAAGCTCAGACAGTGTTTCCTGGGAAACACTACCTCTTTGCAGTAAACAGAAAAAGTACCGGGAAAATTAGAGTTTTCTGAAGAAAGGGTAATTAGCAGTTGGAAGAATATTAGTGGGATATCTTACTGTTTTGTCTGGGTGTGTGGTAATTGAGAATAAATCTGTGTCATTTGAGCTGTAGTTCTGGTGATCATATGTTCAGGCTTTCCAAAATTATCCCAATTTCAAATATTTTGTTGTGTTTTCCTCATAGGCCATCGAAGTGTTGTACGTTGACTGGGGAGAAAGTGTTCAGGCAGGGTGAACTGCAGATTCTCTGTGGTGGGAAGGAGAAGCGTGCATGTTCCAGGAAGACTGCTTTCCTAGAGTCCAGGCCGTAGGCGGAGGTGTGGAAGGAGTTGAGCCTGGAGGTGGGAAAGATGCCCTGTGGCCTGGTGGGCTGTGTTAAGAATGCTGGTCTTATTCCTGAGGGTATTGGGAAGCTGCTGACGGGGATGTTTAAGCAGAGGTAGCAGTGAGATTGATGTGATTTGATTTGCTTTTTTGAAAAGTTTTCTTTGTTGCAGAGTATTGAATGTTTTAAAGGGAGACAAAAGTGAATTCAAGAAGAACAGCACTTATGTGAGAGAAATTGAAAAGTGGATTCAAGAAGAACAGTTCACGTGAGAGAAAATGATCTTGAACTAGGGTGGCGCTGGTGCAGGAAAGAGAAGGATGTGTTGGAGAGATATTTAGAAGGAAGGTTTTATGTTGATGAATTGGATATGGGAGGGGGCCAAGAGGGGCTCCACAAGTTTCTGGATGTACCTTTAGATGCATATTGTAGCCTTTTAATGAAAGTGGACAGAGGAAAATCACATGCCAATCTGACATGCTAAGGTCAAGGTTTTTGACACATCCAAGTGGAGCTATCAGGGAGTAGGTAGTAGGATATGGATTTGGAGCTCAGATAAGATGTCAGGGAGAGAGTACAGAGCGAGTAGAATGTTAGTTGGTTTTTGTTGTGAAAGGAACAACCTCAAAATCACAGTGGCTTACAACTAAGGACATTTATTTTTTCATTCATGGGTCTACAGTGGGCTGCAGCTGCGCTGGGCTCTTCTGGATCTGTGGGCTTGGCTTTCGCTGCTGCTTGAGTTCAGCTCTGCTCCATATGTTTCTTCATTTTGTACCAGCAGCTACTCAGGGCATATTCATTCTTGCACGAGTATAAGGGAATGACCTCTTAAACATTCTGCTTGCATCATGTCCTCTGACATTCCATTTACCAAATCAAGTGACATAGTCAAGCTCAAAGCCAAGGGGAAGCCATGACTTGGGTAGGGCATTGAGAACACTGAAAGAATAATCCAATCTACTGGGGAAGGACTGAGCCATGAGACGTTTAATGCTTGACTGAAGGAGGCTCTCCCCAGGAGCCTCAGAATTAGCAGTAAAGCAATGAGTATGGTGTCACTGAAGCCAAGTTATAGAGGGAGGAAGTAAGGTCAACTGTGTTGGGTACTGTTAGAGGTCAAGGAGGATAAGGAGTGAAATACAGCAATCAGATTTATTGACCTTGATAACTGCAGTTTGGAAATATTTAATGTGGAAGTAGAAATGGAAGCCAGATTGGAATGGCTTGTGAATTATACGGTTTCCAACCTTTGATTTACGATAGCAAAGAAAAAGAAAACAAGAATATAATTTTTAAAAACCCAGCAACAATAACAATGGAACCCATCAAAAAAACATGGGTCTACCATGACAGTCAACATGAATTGGTTAACTTGTAGAAGTCAACAGAAAACTAACATTTATTAAACTTTTTATAAGTACTGGTGTATTTACTTTCACCTATCTTTAATCATTACAGCATTTCTATAAAGAATGTAGCATTATCTGTATTTTCCAGGTGAGAAATTTGAGGCTCTGAGAGGTTAAGTAATTTTCACTAGGTCACTGTTCATGCCAATATGATGAAAAAAATTGTGAACAAGTTTCCTAAGTCCTGGATTCTTGACCAACAGCCAAGCCCTGACACTGGTTCTCAAAGGAGCTAATATTTGCTCTTGAGTAAAATGCACATCTATTTTGTTAATGAAGTGTTGACTGCAGTTGAGCTCCTGTGACCTGAGATTAGTCATGTGTGTGTCGCAGGGACTACTTTTGTTCATGTGCTGTCAGACCTAGAATAAACCCAGGCCTTCTGCCTCCGTTCCTGTAAGCCCATGCTCTACTCTTTGACCTCCAAATCAGTACTTCTCAAGCTCTCTCTGGGGAAAGATAGCTCCCCGCCCCAACCCTAGTAAGTTGTGCACTGATACTTTTCTAAAGTACAAAAAAAATGAATTAATAGAAAAATAAATTTAAAATACTTAAAAATTCATGCTCCATTTTTTCTGTTTTCTATTATTCAGATTCAACAGATCTAAATTATTGCCGTACAAGTTTCAGTTTCTGTGTTAATCTCCTCACCGACCAGTAACAAGCAGTTTGCCGACCCGCAGGGGAACATGTTTTCAGTAATAGTGCACTAAATCTACCCCCCCAGATCACAGGACAAGGGTGTGCTTGCTGGAGGCTCAGATAAGGGCTTGTGGAAGCTGTCTGGCCTGAGGCCTTGTACCAGGCAGATCTTGGCCAAGCTGGGTGTCCCAGGTGGATCTCATGCTCATTACCTACCACTCCCACTTTCCTGGAAAGAATTATCTGAAAGTAGCCCAAATCAAGAGTGTGTCATACCTAAAAGAGATTCTGAAATCCCACATGATAATTCAGAGAACATGTGCAGAGTTTAGAAGGTTTTTAAACTCTTCATAATACCGTTGATCACTACCAGCCAAGGCCAAGGCCGTAGTCATTCTTGGCCTCGAGTCCTATCAGGTGCAGATGTGTCTGCTTCCAAAATCCGTGCTGTTTCCATTGCCTAAAGGTGTGCATGTTAGAGGATATGGTACAAATGTATCATGCTGAATACAGTATTAGAACCTTTTCTTAGATCCATAATTCAAAGTAAGGGGTGAAGCCATTGTCCTATCTCCCTCAAGATAATATCTGTCTCCTAAATATCTTTCCAGGTGTTCCTCTGCATTGTTAATCCTTCCCATTCCATTTCCAGATTGGATTTAGGACCCCAGACTATCACTGCGTGCCTTGAACGCTGCGAAGTCAGCTTGAATAACTCTTTTTTACATGATTTTCACCATGCCGATGTTCCATCTTATTTTCCTGTCCTAGCAGGTGTAATTTCAGCCTTGTTTGTTTATTTTTTCCCTGTATAATCTGGTGCCACTTTACCTCTCTTCTGTGTTTTACTTGACTTTTTCTGTGATAGTCATTTTTGTCCCTGTGTCACCACTCTCTCAGGTTCCTCCATTCCCTCACAGAAGTCTATCAATTTCTAAACATTAATTTTTACTCTTTTTTCAGAGATTATTTTAAATAATTCCTCATTTATCTTAATGGGTTCTGGCCAAAAATTCTCCCCCCGGACCAGTTTTCAGGGTTTACAGGTGTAGTAAATCACATCAGATGTTTGCACAAAGGATGTGCAGATGACACTGGGCTGCCTAAGTGAGGAATGAGCAAAATCTCTGACTGTCCCTTGAGGAGTCCCCGGGCGGAGGGGACACCTCAGGGGCTGGGACCTCTTACACAGTTGTATTAACCCAGGGCTTCTGCACCTCTTGCCAGGTGTGGTGGTGTGAGTTTTCGGACAGATGCTCCTGACCCAGGATCTCAGCGACTTTAAAGTACATGTTGTTCTCATTTGTTTATACATCTTCCCTTGCGTCCAGTGTATTCCACTGTTGCCCAGGCCATCTGAACATTGAGCTTTATGATTTTTTTTCCCCAGTAGATGTTCAGTTCAAACCATTGCACTTATGAGAATGAGGATTATGAGGTCATTAGGACTTGTACTTTAGTTGGAAGAGGCTATGATTTCAGATTCACTTATGAAGTCTTCTATGAGGAATACCTCTCCTTTTGTGCCTCTCATTAGTCATAAATGAGAATGTTAAATGGGCCCTTTTGTTGTTGCACTTAATAGAAAGTGAATAGACTAGGCTCTTTAAAATTTATGTACATAGAGAACTATTGGAGATTTTGGAGCAAAGAAGGAAAATGTCCCATTTCTCAAGCAGTGCTTGACAGATGGGCTCACCCAGAGGAGAGGGGAGGTGTGCTCAAGGCTGCCCCAGCAGTCCTGGAGAGGTGGTAAGGATCTGCACAGGGTGGTGGCAGAGAGTATACAAATGCTTGATTGATATAAAAAATGAGAAAAATTCAAAACAATCTTGTGTCTCCTTGAAAAAAATGAAAAGAACCCTAGATCACTTGGTCTGGCTGCCAGAGAAGGATGTATGATAGCTACATGTTCTTGAGAGTCAAGTAAACAGGCATCTCTCACGTTGGAACTTCGTCATTAATGTTGCCCCTTCACCTTCCTACAGGACTTGACCCGCAGAGGAGAAGCCGGGGAAGGGGAGCAGTAGTGGCCGGATATGTTTTACGCACTTTCCCTCCACGGCTGTGGGAATCCACCCCCCTAAGATGATAAGGAAGGGAAAACAACAACGTAAACCTTAGGATTCTCTTACTGTGGGAATTGCTACTGCTCAACATTCTTCTTTGCTTTTTTCCCCGCTGTCAGTAGATAACACTCAATGAGCTTATGAGTTCTCTCTCTGCTGCTTGAAGGTGGATCGTGGACCCTCCAGGGAGGGGTGGCTGTCATAGATGAAGGGCTCCTGCAAAGCAAAACTGCATCTTCCTCGCTCTTGCCTTCTCAGTATCTAATTCTGCCCAAATCACAGGATGCTCAGTAAATGTTTGTAAAAGGAACTTCTGTTAACAAAGCCCTAAGCATCTTTCAGCTGTTTTAGTTAACTAACTAAAATCTATGTGATTTAAATAGCAACTCTAAAAGTTATATACATATCTTTGAGCTTACATGTGACAGAAAACTTTGAAATCTTTCTTTATTGCCTTGAATATTTTAGAAGACAGAATGTTCTCAAGGACCTATTTACAAAATAACCTAAAAATCAAGCAGCTTTTTCAAATTGATTCTGACTGAAACTTAAAAGAAATCTGAAAGAAATGTAAGAATTCTAGTCTCTCTCACATACTAAAGAAAAATTAGAATAGATATTGATCAGTCAAGAGAGCTATTAATCCTTGTGGGCCAATGCATTTGAGAAGGTATCCATTTCTGTTATTAGTTTTTGTTGAGAGCACAAATTTAAACCATTTAATAATTTAATAATTTTTATTCGACAGTTTAAATTATTTTAATGCTTTAAAATTTCCTATTACTCTAAGCAAAGCAGGTAAACTCTTTTTAACTAATACTTAAAAAAATTCCTTTATAGTTAAATTAATCTTTATAAAGATCTAAATGAGTTAGAAGAAAAGTTCTGCAATAGTGCCTTCTCAGCTGAGGCGGTGATGTTTCTGAACGACCCTGGGGTTTGCAGTTCAGGAACTATGATCTTAGTGGAGGAATAGAATTAAAGGGACCAAGCCTGGGGTACACCTTCTAAATACTGTATTCACTAAAACAAAACAGTTAATAGAGCACTTTATTATATAAAGATGCTGTCAATGCAATTTTACACATACTATCTAATATTCTACAAGAACTAATGAGCGAATTGGGGTGCAAAAAAGCTGTTTCTAAGTCCACTTGATCACAAATGAGAAGTCAAAGCTGGCAGGTTCTGGGTGCACATCTACTCAAAAGAGTATCAGTTGGTCCCTCAAAGCTTTAAGCCAGGTGCAGCCTTTCTTCCCAGCGTTCAGCGAACGTTGACTGTGCACACTGAAATGCACACTGAAGGTCTGTTGAGGCAGTCAGTCCCCTGATGGTCTCTAGATAGCCCAGACATCTCTGCTTTTGGAATAGCGGATTCAAGGAGACTTGAACCTATAGTTCCATTCAAGTGTTGTAACAGAGTTTTACTATCACTTTATGACATCATGCGACGTTTAACTTCTTAAATGCTTTGCTGTTTCATGAATTAACAGTATGTTAAGAGGCACTCAGAACTGATGACTGATATCTTTGTATGCGCTCTTCTGTTTTGTCAGTTGCTTTTGAAATGTTGCATGTATTGTCATTTTTTCAAATTCATAATCATCACTGTAATCAAATGATTGATCCTACATTCCCGTGTACATATCACTACTATCAGTTTTGTTTAACAGTATTTCAACTTTTGTTTCCTTGCTGATTTTTCATCTCTTCCTGTTATTGCTTTCAACACTCTGGGAATGACGGGGTGATAATCTATATAAAATGTATAAAAGCTTACCCATGGCAACCGGGCAGCAGAATGTTGAGCTAAGCCGAGGGGAAGGGTTCGCGCTTTCCTGACACAGCAGCCGTCTCTTGGTGGCGGGGAGGTGGCTCACCTCCGCTCTGGAGTGTAGCTTTGTTTACATCTGTGCCTGCTGCAGAGCTGAAAGTTCTCAAGTAATTCCTAAGGTTCTGTAGTTGTGCTGCTAGTTTCCAGTTAATGTTCCTTACTGGCTAACAATTTCAATGAGAAGCTAATGAATTATTTTTGGTTTGCTGCGGATAATATGGACTTGAAATGGTTCCCTCAGCTCCTTGCCTGTCCTCCCACCAAGTGCTTGATTCCCATCCCCGTTTATCACTGGGGGAATGCCAGCTCTTTTCTCCAGGGTCTCTTTCCTCTTCATCTCCTCTTTGTATTTTAGCTCCATCCTCTTCAAAGACAAGGGAGTGCATTTTTAAGGCTTGGATTTACTCTCCCTTACGTTTGTTTACATTTCATAGGACATTATAACAGTAGTTTTCCAACAGCTTTACCAGCTTTTTCTGTTCTTGTCTTGATTCTTATCAGTTGCCTAAAAGTACATTTCCATGTACTCAGATTTTGAACAAGGGGAACTCATGATTAAGGAGAAATTAGTCTTTTTGGATTTAATATATTGTATCAACTTTTCTAGCCTCTATGAATTCCTCATGTCTGAAAATTAAGATGACTTTATTTCTGATAATTCCTGAATTTTACTTTCGATGAAAAATGTAAGTTAAACATATAGTCTAAATGTGTAGGAAAGGAATAAAAAAATCCCATGGGTATTTTTGCTTATATTGTTTAAGGTAAATATCTAAGGGATAGCTCTGTTATTTACTGCCTTCAGTGTTTACATGCTTTAGATTCTTACAGCAATTTCAGTAAATTGGCTAAAAAGCTCCAAAGAGTTCAGAGCATAGGCTGTTCAAAGGCAGTCTTTCTCCACAGCAATATTCATGCATTTGACCTTAGTCTAACAAAGACATTTATCACGGGCTTTTCCCAGCCGTTCATTAGTATGTTTGAACTTTGCTGTGCTAGTTCTTTTAAACTGAGGTATTTTGGATTACTTGAGGCTTATAAAGCAAGTAAACAGTTCTAAGGGTGTTGACGATAACTGAAGGGTTAGTGTATGGCAGAATGTTGCTACCACTAATGCAGAATAGACAAGCACACAAATCATGGCTGATGCCATTCTCGGAGCTTCTTCCCCTGACCTTCCAGGATGACACTGTCATATCTTTCTGGATGCTGAGCATGCAAATAGATGAGAAAAGGATGGAGACAGAGTTTCGTGGTTTATGACTTATATTGGGAGCCTGCTGGCATTCGTCACCCAACTTGTGAAGACAGTAATGTCTGTTTATAACTAGATCTATATGTAGTAGTTCTAGTTTTTCATTTTTAGTCCCAGGTGGAGATAGTGGAAAATGTGTGGGAATGAAACAAGAGGTTCTTGCTTCTGTAACACTTTGTTTTGCGACCTTGTACAAGTTTATTATTCCCTCACAACTTTAATTTCCTCATCTGTAAAATAGAAATAAGATTATTTTCTTCCCATTGTTGTTGAGAAGATTAAATGAGATAGAGTAAGTGAAAGTGTTTTTAAATCTAGAAAACCATACAGAAATTAAAAATATTGCTTCTTTGCCTTCCATGGCCTTGTTAAAACCCCTTCTTTCTGTTGTCTGTCCTTACTCCACTCCTAACTTCAGCCCATACGATATTTTCGTATAATAGTTCAGCACAGAAGCAGAGGTGCCACAGGGCAGAGTCTTGGTCACCTCAGTCATGCTGTGCTGGTCCTGGCTTCTCCCCTCTGTAGTTTGTGTGCCGTAGGGAGAGAGAACTTTATTTCACTACCTCAGAGCAAGAAGAACCAGCATAGATGGTCACCTGCATGGGTTCAAACCCCTGCTGTGCCTCTCACTAGCTGTGTGGCCTTTGAGAATTTCCTCAAGCACTCTGAGCCTTGGTTTCCTCATAGAGGTGAGGGTAGTGCTACCTCCTCACAGAGTGTTTTCTCTGGGTTTGCGAAGGTTATACCTGCAACGTACCAAAATAAGGCTCTTGTAATCGGTGTGCATGGTTGTTAATGGGTTATGTTATATGGGGATTCGGGATCCTTCTTTCTGGTAAATTTCTGGACAGAGGAGATATTACCAAATGTTTTATGATGATTAAAGCAACTTTCGTAAAAGGAAGTTTTGGGATTCTTTTAACAGATTTTAACCTGTAACGATAACTGACTTCCTCCTTGTTTATAATGAACAAATGATAAACATCTTCAATTCCTTTTGCCCTAGACACACACACAGATGCACACGCACACACACACACACACAAACACACACTTACTTTGCCTGTTTGGTCTTTAGCACAGATGGATATTGTTTCACAATGATAGAAGAAGATGATTCCGGGATGCCTGTGGTCACTTCTGGGTGTCTAGGACTAGAAGGCTCAGATTTTCAGTGTCGGGTAAGGAAGAGAACTTAATTCTGCTTCGTAACCTTTTGTCAGCTAGATTCCGAATGGTCAAGTTTCAAGCATGATAAAACAATTGTTTTTTTTTTTTGACTAGCCTCTTCTTAGTAATTTGGACAATAATTTGAAAATTCTCATTGGGCCAATTCTTTATTCATTTTGAAATCAAATATTCTTTTTATTTTTGCTGTTAACTTCTGGCTTAGTGACCCATTAGATCATCTTGCTCAAATTCCAATTTAGTGAATTGCAATAAGTCCAGCTTTCTTTCTCAGTTTATGCCATGCACACTGGTTATTACAGATATAGTAGTAATTTTGTTGAAGTGCAAAAGTTGCGGTAAGATAATACACGGTAATTTGAAAGAAATTACTTAATAGAAACATTTTCAACATGTTTGAGTAAAATTATAAGAATTTTAAGTGAGTCCGCTAAATAGTGTTAATTTCTTAAGTTTTAGATTATGTGACTTTGAAATTTAGGGGAACCCACTAACAGCTGTTTGAGTTCAATTTCAGGACACCCCCATTCCTCATCAGAGAAGGTCGATTGAATGCTGCACGGAGCGGAATGAGTGTAACGAGGACCTGCACCCCACGCTGCCGCCCCTGAAAACCAGAGGTGAGGCTCCCAGGCCGGAGGGCCTTAGGCTTGAAGAGGATAAAAACTTGAAGTGCTCTCTCTCTTCTCAATGAATCTCCCTGTACCATTTTCCACTGTGTGGCAGAGGACTGAGGCAGGATGACACGATGAAACTCACTCGGAGACGTGTGCAGGTAGTTCTTGGGAAAATAGTCATGTGAGGCTTCACTCCTCGGCGTCTTATTTCGTGGACCTCCCCTCACTTCTTCCAGGAAACTACAGTTTCTAGAGCTGGTGGCGTGTTTCAGGAGGGTGGAGGAGGGGACGCTGTGTGAGGCTGGCCCCTACACGTCATTCAGAAGGTGTGCTTCACTCAAAACTGCTGCTTGGCTACATTCATTCTAAAAATAAGGACCTTATAAAGGACTGAATCAGATTATTTGCTGGATGGCATCTCCTTTGTTCTATGCCAGAGCAACTACTTTTAGTCAAATCATATACGTATCATATATTGAGAAAATATCTAGAAAATTTAATTTCAGGTCTTATACATTTAAGTGTTGCTCTTTAAATACAAATATTGCATCCCCAAAGACTTTTTGTTAAAAGCAGCTGCCACACGGCATCCTATACAAGATAGAGGAAGGTGGGGACCAGTGTTACTTGGGGCTAATTTTCCTCAGCACAAAGAAGAAGATTGGCAACGGATGTTAGCTCAGGGCCAATCTTCCTCACCAAAAACCAACAAACAAAGAAAAAAAACAGCTGCCACATTTTCTTTCTCCTCTTTGCTCTCACCACAAAATAAATGATTTGTGGTAGTCATAAAGTCGGAAGTCCTAAGTCTTATGTAAGTGGTTTAAAATGATTCTTCATGATTGATTTTATTTCTTGAGAAGAGATCATCTTTCCAACAAAATATAATAACATTTCCTGATTTGATGATAACGTTTTACCAACACTTGTTCCTACTATAGCCTAGAAAGCTCAATGAGATTGATTCATAATAGTTCACATCAAAAATCCACAGGCAGTTTTTAAAATTTTGCCAGTCAACATGCTGGGTGTTAGGGATATAGAAATGGATGAAGAAAATTCTTCCAAGATGTGCCCACTAGGATGTGAGAAGAAACATGTAAATTATTGAATAATACTTGGTCAGGAATATCTCAGCAGTTAAGTTAGATTATAAAGTGTATTAAGGACACAGAAGAGTGAGTGGCTCACTCTGGAGTGGGAGGATATCAAAATAGCTTCATAGAAGTGATACTTGAACAAAACTTTAAGGGTGAACAGGACTTTGCTAAGTGGACAAGGCAGGAATAAAAATAAAAAAATTAAAATGGCTAACATAAGCCAAACATTGTGTAAATATTACATTAATTAACTCATTTGAGCCTCATAAGAATTCTATGAGGTACTTAGGATTAGTATTCCCCATTAAAAGATGAGGAAATTGCAGCACAGAGAGGTTAATTAACTTTCCCAAGTTGCACAGCCTGTGAGTAGCAGTGACTGAATAGGCAGTAGTTAAGTGCAGAGGTTTGGCTTGTCATATTTGAGAAACATTTGCAAAATACAGACATATGAAACAGCATGACTGGTTGGAGAAAATCTCCTGATTAAGTTTTCTGAAGGCTCACTATTCAGAGTGGACCTGTGGATCAGCCGCGTTGGTATCACTTAGAGCTTATTAGAAATACAGAATCTCAGGCCCCCCCAGACTACTAAACTGCCTTTAACAGGATTCTCCAGGTGATTTACGTGCGCGTTAAGGTGTGGGCTACACTTTTGGTAGAAAAAGACAGGACGTATCTGTGGATGTGGCTGGTGCCATTGTGTCTCCATGGGAGTTCGACAGCACCTGCTCAAGAGAGGTGCACCCATGGCAGGTTGCTGCAAAGTTCTAATGTTGACTTTCAGTTTTGTGGTTACTTCCTGTGACCTAGCTGCAGACAGCGTTTTGAATTGCGCTGGCCCAGGAGCTCCTCTTTGGGGACTGGGGCAGGGAGGGGGTGAGGAGTGGCTGGAATGAAGAGGGAAGTGCTAGAGTTCAGAATTTCTTTCCTCAAGAAGAGATTTGTCCCATTCGAAGGGAAGTGATGTGTCCCAGAAGTAGCAGGAGGGTTTAGGAAGATTCTGACTCTCCTTTGAAAGGCCAAAAGGGCTGCAGTGCATATGTTGTCCTGTAGATGGAGCCAGAGTCTGGTTAGGACCAGCAGGTGAGGGGGTGTTCTCTGACGAGGCTGAGAAGGCAGGGACTTTCAGAAATAGTGGAGTAAGTCTGTAGAGAACTGAGGGAAAGGCTGTGTAAAGAAGAGAAGCAGCGTAGAGAAGACAAGTCCTTGGTCCAGGGCAGGGTGTGAAGGGGGATGCAGGAGTGGCTGGTGGGTAGACGGAGGATTTACCAGGTGACGGGCTTGGCAGGCGTGTGGTGGCCTTAGGGTTTATTGCTTTGAACTCTGAGGGTCCCAGGTATGCCTAGCTGAGGTCTCTGCAGATCCGCCTTACCCTTTTGGTGCAGTCATTTTGGGGTCCAGGAGAAATCACCGTGGGCCCGCCTGGGGATCTAGTGGTTAAGATCCGGCGCTCTCACTGCGCAGCCCAGGTTCGTCTCTGGTCAGAGAACCATATCTCCTGTCTGTCAGTTGTCATCCTGTAGCAGCTGTGTGTGGCTGTGATGCTGAAAGCCGTGCCACCGGGATTTCAAACACCACTAGGGTCACCCGTGGTGGAGGGGTTTCGGCGGAGCTTCCAGACTAAGACCAGGAAGGAGAACCTGGCCACCCACTTCCGAAAAAAATTGACTGTGAAAACCCATGACTAGCAGTGGAGCATTGTCTGATAGAGCTCTGGAAGAGAGGATGGCGCAGAGAGACCTGGCAGGTTTCTGCTCTGCTGCACACAGGGTCACCAGGAGTCAGAATCAGCTCGACAGCACTAACAACAGTGAGAAGTCAGTGCAGCCTGTGGACTGAGACACTGCGTTTTATACATAGCCATATCATGGAGCTGAAAAAAGGATTTATTACCCACAAGTCCTTGCAAGTACGTGGCACGCCCGGGGCCACACAGCAAGATTGTGGGTAGAAAAAGAGAGGGAGTCCCAGTGAGTGGACCTGGGCCTTCACTGGGGAAAAGAGCGGGGGCCTAGCGTTTTGCATGTTCACTCAGTGAATTTAAAACATGTGAGTGGGAATTAGGTGCAGGAGGGAAACGCGGGGTCACTCAAGTAGTTAGTTATATAGGTTACCTAGGGCTTTCTGAAAGGGGAACTTCGTGGGTGGGGCGTCCTGGTTTCTTATCTAGCTGTTTTACTAGTGTAATACTAGTGTAGTGCAGTATTTTACTAGTGTTTTGCCAGTGTGTCATCCAGCTGGCAATATGATTATTTGAGATGGATGTCTTTGAAATGGATCCTTCGCAATCAAAAGCTTAATGTCAAGCACTTACACTACAACTCCCCGACCCTCTGGTTTATACTCCACCCACAAGTCTTGCTCCAGGCACCCCTTGTCCACCTCTTGGCCACCCTGCAGGCCTTGGGGTCTGTGTACCAGCTCCTTGGTCCACCCTCAGAAGGACAGGGGTGGAGAGAGGGCCTCATGGTTCCCGGACATAGGCATGGGGCATTTAGGCAAGAAATTCCAGACTTCTAGGCAGTGGCAGAAGGATTAAATGGAGAGTGGGAAGGGACGAGTTCTGGGGGGACTTGTCCGCTGGGTCCTGCAGACCCCTTGCTCTGTAGGAAGGGGCACAGTCGAAGGGAGGCTGAGCCTAGACCAATTTTCTGGCCTACGGACAATGAAAACCATCATCATCATAACTGTGGTATTTGCTACTGTGAATGGAGCGCTTACTTGGCTCTTTTGTAAGAACTCTACATATACTAACTCTTTTAATCCTCATAACAACCCAAAGAGGAAGGCACTATTATTACTGTTACCCTCATTTCACTGACATGAAAGCTGAGGAACTGTGAGGTTAAGTCCTGTGTGAAGGTGACACAGCCGAAGTGGTGGAGGTAGGAAATGGGCCAGGGACGGCATCTCACTGACTGCCACAGAGAGCTCCGCATGGCGTTCCCAACAAAATGCTTCCACCTATTTAAGACTCAGAACACTCTACGTCAAGAGAAGTTAGCCATTTCACATAAGAATTGATAAACAGTTAATATGATTACTTCACAGCCTTCTGTTTATTCTGTTCGCCTTGCACAGGTAAACATTTTGTCTAGTCTCAGAATATGGTGTTAGAGCTTTGCTCCCTTGCATGTGCGCTCGCTCACTCTCTCCCTCTTCCTTCTCTTTCCTCTTCTGCCCTCTAATTTAACATCTCTTAAGTCCCAGGTGTGTACTAGGCCAGTGGTTTTCAAACTTTAGGTGCATCAGAGTCGCCCATAGGGCTTGTTAAAGCATAGAGGACCACCCCCACCCTGAGTTTCTGATTCCCTGGATCTGCGTGGGCCTCAATAATGTGCATTTCTAAGCAGTTCCCAGGTGATGCTGGTGCTACTGGTCCAGAACCCACACTTTGAGAAGGGCTGCACTAGGTGTTGCCAAGTAAATTATTATATATTATTTAGTAGATTTATTATAAATCTATATGTCAAATTACTATAAAGCGGAGACTGTGTTATTAAAAGAATAGAGAGCTGAAAAATCCAGCTCACCATTTTTTGTTGTTGTTCTTGTTCTTTAATAATTGCTCTTCCAAAAAAGTTAAATGATTAACCTTATCACAAAGCATCTGTATTACTAGGTGCTAAGTAATAACAGGCTTAGGTGAGGTTCTGTTATGAGAGATCAGACAAGTGCTAAGTGTAAAGGTAAATGAGTACAAATAAATTGTCCTTATTGGAAACAAGTAAATGCAAAAGCCTTTTCTACCAATCCAGAGTTTTCTCAGATTCTTTTTTTTTTAAACATAGGTGCATTTGGCAGGAAATTAGAGATATGCGATCACATTCAACAAATATTTATCAATGTATATTTATGTCCTTGAAATTTTATTTGTCATCTTCTGTTTCCAAAAAGAAG